CTATCTATCTATCTATCTATCTATCTATCTATCTATCTATCTATCTATCTATCTATCTATCTATCTATCTATAGAACTTACATAGCCGCCTATCTCCCATAGTGATCTCACAACAACCCATCGAAAACAATAGGACAAAAACAGAACAACCCTTTCCTTCCCACCAGGTGCCAGGCCAACCTGCTGACTCAAGTCCATTCCATTCCAGCGCTTGGGGGAAGAGCCAGGGTCTTTGCGACCTTCTGGGGGGCTAGAAGAGTAGGGGCTCCTCAAATCTCAGGTGGGAGGATCTTCCAAAGGCTAGGGAGGCTACAGAGAGGGCACAGCTTTGAGGTCTCATCTGATGACAACATTTAAGGGAGGGGATCTGGAGCACGCCCACCTTATCTCACCTAGTGAGATGGGCGGATACCCTCAGGGAGAAGAAGAGTAAGGTAAGATAAGATGAAAATCTGTCTCACATTGATCATTAGCAGGTGTCTGATCACTCCAGGAGGATCACTTTCCTCAGACAATCCTAACATCACACACACACACACACACACACACACACACCCGGGCGCGCACACAGAAATAAATTCTCTGGTTGACAACGGGATCTTTCATCTCCCTCATGGATTAACATAGCAATGCAGATGTTCAAGAGCATCTTATTCCTCACCCACCCCAAAGTATATTTTCCTTTTTCATCTGTCCTCACTTCTTCAGATAACTTATTTCAGGATTTTCCCTCTGTTTTTTTTGGGGGGGGGGGAAGAAGGGGGAGGAACTGCTTGAAGAATGGATAATAAAAGAAATAAACAAAGAATAATAAAATAAATCATAAATCATAAATAAAGTTTGGAAGATGGCTTGTTAAATAAGCAATGTTTTCACTGGTTTGTTTGTTTTAACTGTGCACAGTGATGCTGCACAGAAATTACCTAAGTTTTCTTCACTGATTTCTCCCAGTTCTTCTCCATTAAAATATGTGCGCTGTGAAGAGTTAGGTATTCAAGACGTCATTTTATTTAAAATGCCTTCAATTGTGTGGATCACAACAAACTGTGGCAAATTCTTAAAGAGATGGGAGTACCAGACCA